CAGGTACAAAGTTCCTATGGTGAAAGTGATCATTATGCATGTTTAAAATACACCAATAAACTTAATTCATTAAAAAACACCTCCCAGAACTCAGGAGGCTGAGGCAGGAGGATTGACATTAGTTCAAGGCCACCTTGGGCTACATGGTGAGTTCAAGGCTTGTCTGAACTACATGGCGAAACCCTGTCTCAAAAAACCAACCAATGAACCAAATAAGAAAAAACCCAAACGCAAAACCAACCAACCAAACAAGCAAACAAGACAAAGGGACAACATAAATATGCATCCTTTTCTATATCAATTACAGAGAAGGCGTTTGGTCTTTGCCACATGCATGGCCCCATTTGAAAACTCTTCAAGGCTTTTAAAAGTTATTATACAGCTTTATTTTTTCCCTTTACATCTGTACAACCTAATAAATGTGTTCGTTATGTTTTAAAAACACTCAAATCTATTGATGAGATTGTTGTCATTAATATTAATTCGGTATATAAAAATGAGAATCTGAATGATTATTAAGCTTTTAAATTTCACAGAGAGGAATCGCAATATCAAGACCTGAATCAACGGATTCTCAGTGGCTGACAAACAGTCTGGATACTGAAGAGAAAGACTTCGGAATTAGATGTTCTATTTGGAATTCTTTGCCACCTTGTATGTGTCTCAGAACTTTCCTGAACCTAGATGTGTCTGTTTCTTATTTCTCTTTACATTGATCATAGTAAAATATATCTCTCAGGTATATTGTGAGAAACCAATAGATTAAGGCAGACAAGCCTCGTGTATACAGCCGGGTGCTTTGGAAGATTTCCATAAATACTAGTAATGTTTAGAAGCCACAATTGTTATTACTGAGGTAATATTAATAATTACAATAGTAATATAATATTTTACTGTACTATTGTGGTCATGCATGGCTTACTATGAGGATATGTTCTCCCGGGTTGCACTCATGGGTTCATTCAGTTCTTTCACCTCAACCTCCCAGGTAGACTACAAATTTGTGTCACCACACTGAGGTCTATTTAAAGCTGATGTCCACTTGGGTTATTTCTAGTTAAGGGGACAATGAAGAATACTAGGACTAAGTTACAACCAGCTCAGAAGAGAAGGATCCTCCCCACAAGTTTACATGCAAATGCTTCATTAGGTGATTTCATCTCTGTGCAATAATGATAGAGTCCTTATGCAAACTTAGCCACGACGTTCCTAGACAATACGACCTCACAGAATCGTGGTGATACACAGGGTCAGCCATAGGCAAGTGTTGTGCAGTGTATGAGCATATTTTAAGATAAAAGCACTAGAGACTGTATATCATACTTACAGTACATGCTGTACCAGACATCCTCACTTCTAGATGCATGAATGCTGAATTTCTGGCATGTACAATTAATTCTTGAAAATGAAACAATTTTGAATTAGTGAAAAAAAGTCACTGAGTTCGTTAATTAAAAATTCTTTTTTTACTTTTAAAGAGAAAAGAACAAACACAAAATAACACAAAGACAAAAACAAAACAACATAAAAACTATAAAAATGATACAGAATTTCAAAGTAGTTGCTCAGATTACCAGATATCAGCATGTAAGACTGATCAAACAATCAGACATTAACCATTCCTTTCAATAAACCAGTAGAAATTAGCAGTACAATTATCTTAGCTCTCTTGTGTATATGTATGTATATATTTCCCTTCCTTCTTTCTTCTTTCCCTCATCCCAGTCATCCTTTCCTATTAAGCAGTTTCTTTCCCTTTCACAATATCTATTGTACCTTTCAGTTTTTTTTTTTTTTTGGTACCGGGAATCGAACTCAGGACCTTGCGCTTGCCAGACAGGTGCTTATGCCACTGAGCTATATCCCTGGCCCTACCTTTCAGTTTTATTTACTCTTTCAGGTTCTTATACTAGAGAGACAATTCATTATTTACACATGTGGGTCTGATTTATTTCACTTATGAGTATGGTCTCTAGTTGCATTCATAATACCGACAAAAGCCTAGAGTTTATCTTTCTTTATAGCTGAGTAATATTCCATTGTATAAAACTACCACATTTTAAAAATTCTTAATGAATAAATGACATTCTTTCAGAACAATGAATAAATGATATTCTTTTAGAACAAATAATC